GAGGCGGAGGCAGGAGACTCGCTTGAGCCCAGGAGTTGGAGGTTGCTGTGAGCTGTAATGCCACGGCACTCTACCCAGGGGGACAGCTTGAGTCTCTGACTCAAAAAAAAAAAAAAAAAAAGAAAAAAGAAAAACAGATTCTCAAAAAAATGCTTTCAAAAGAGAAAATTTTACATCTCTTATCCATCTGTCTATTCAACCCTTTTCAGAAGTTGTGCAGAACAGAATTCCCCTGGGGTACCTAATACCTGGGGAACTCATAGAATATTTTTAACTATTTTTTTTCTCAAAGTTTTATAGTTGTATGTTTTACATTTAAGTTTATGAGTCATTTTCAGTTAATTTTCATAGAAGATGTGAGATGTAGCCTAGGTGGGGGCTCTTTTTTTTTTCTTTTTGACCAATATGTGACCAATTGCTCTAGCACCATTTGTTGAAGATTATTTTTCCCTCCCATTGAATTGCTTTTGCACATCTATCAAAAATCAACTGGGTATATTTGTGTATTTGCATGAGGTTATTTCTGGGTTCTGTATTCTGTTCCATTCATGTTTTTGTCTATTCCTCCACCAGTACCACATAGTCTTGATTAATATAGCTATATAATTAAGTCTTAAATTCAATTTTCTTAATAGGTATAGAGCTATTCAAATTATCTGTTTTGTATTGAGTGAATTATGGTAGGTGTGCTTTGTGAAGAAGTGCTTTTCATCTAATTTATCAAATTTATGTGTGCAGAGTTGGTTCTAGTATTCTCTACTGTCCTTTTGATATCTGTGGGGTCTGTGTTGATATCTACTGTTTTGATATTGACAATTGATATTGGTAATTCGTATCTTCTTTCTCCTTTTCTTTGTCTTTCATGTCAATTGTATTGATCTTTTCAAAGAACCTTATCTAGTTTTTCTGGTTTTTATAACTGTTTTGCTATTTTAAGTTTTTGATTTCTTCTTTTAATTTTTCCTTCCTCATGCTTACTTTCAGTTTATTTTGTTCTTTTTCTAGGTTCTTGAGGTGGGAGCTTAGATGATTAATTTGAGAATTTTCTTTTTTTATGATGTATGCATTTAGTGTTATAAATTTTCCTGTTAGCATTTCTTTAGATGCATTTTTATTTAGTTCAGTTATAGTGGAGTTGGTAGATATGCCCAGGCCAAATAGTGGGGCTGGACACAGGGTCGGTAACCCAAAGAGAGTGCTGAGTTTTTGCTGCACATGTTTAAAAATGCAGAGAGTAATGCTGAACTTAAGGGTTTAAATGTAGATTCTCTGGTCATTGAGCATATATCCAAGTGAACAAAGCACCCAAGATGTGTCGCCGAATTTACAGAGCCCATGACATTAACCCAGACATAAGTTCCCCCTGCCATATTGAGATGATCCTTACTGAAAAGGAACAAATTGTTCCCAAACCAGAAGAGGAGGTAGCACAAAAGAAAAAGATATCCCAGAAGAAACTGAAGAAACAAAACCTTATGGCATAGGGTGGCGCCTGTGGCTCAAAGGAGTAGGGTGCAGGCCCCATGTGCTGGAGGTGATGGGTTCAAACCCAGCCCTGGCCAAAAACTGCAAAACAAACAAACAAAACCTTGTGGCACGGGAATAGGTGCAACATAAAATAAATGCAAATAATAGTAAAAAAATAAATAAATAAAATCTCCTTAAGACTTCCTCTTTGACTTATGGATTATTTAGAATTACTTAGTGTCCGGGTGGTTGGAGTTACTCTTCTATCTTTCTGTTACTGATTTCTAGTTTGATTCCATTCTGGTCAGAAAACACACACTATGATTTCACTTTAAATTTGTTGAGCTTTGTTTTATGGCCCCAAATATGTTCTATCTTGGTATATGGTCCAGTGGCACTTGAACATACTGTGTATTCTGCTATTGTTAGGTGAGTGTTCAATAAATGTTTAGGACATGTTAGTTGATGGTATTGTTGAGTTCTATATCCTTGCCGATTATTTTCCATCTAGTGGTTCTTTCTTTTGTTAAGAGAAGAATATTGAATTATAGATTTTTCTGTTTTTTATTTCAGTTCTATTTTTGCTTCTCTTATTTTTACATTTATGTTGTTCGGTTCATGAACATTTAGGATTGACTGCTATGTCTTATTGGAGGGTTGACCCATTTGTTGCCATATAATGTTGCCGTCTGTCCTTGGTTATTTTCTTTCTTTGCTTTGAGATATTTTGAAATTTATCTGAGATTAATGTAGCCACTTTTGCTTTCTTTTGATTAATGTTTGTATAACATATCCTTTTACTTTCAACTGCCTATATCACTTGAAGTGAGTTTCTGACAGACAGCATAGACTTGGGTCATGTTTTTAAATCTACTCTGCCATTGCTTATGTTAAGCTATGTACATTTTGTGTAATTATGGATATGTTAGGGCTTATTTTTTGTTTTGTTTTTCTTTTTTCCATTTCTGGAAAAAAGGTTACTTGTATTTTTTTAGAATTCCATTTCTATGGTCTATTTCTTATTAGATTCAGGTTAATTATTTTGGCAACAGTACTGTGTAGTACAATATGTTGTGTATCTCTTATTCTGTCAGTCAGGAAACATGTAGTAAGTTTGATCATTTGGTGAAAGTGGTATCTATCAGATCTCTCTGTTGTAAAGATGTCTTTTTCTCTTTTATACTTAAGTAACCTGTGAGGTAGGGACCATTACTTTTAAAACACCTTGAAATCCAAGAATTAAATATTATTATTATTTTGCAGTTTTTGGCTGGGGCTGGGTTTGAACCCACCACCTCAGGTATATGAGGCTGGCGACATAATCCTTTGAGCCACAGGTGCCGCCCAAATTAAGTATTATTTTTAAATGCCAGAAAAGCTAGCTTATTTTTACAGTAGAAATCCAATTAATAAATGTACAGAGAATGATAAAAATACAAAATTAGCATTGGGCAAACACTACAGTAATAACTGTTACAGGCAAGAATCATGAATGAATGCTAAAATTAGTGGAGGCTGAGGCAGGAGGATCACTTAACTATAGGAATTCGAGGTTATAGTGAGCTATGATTGTACCACTGTACTCCAGCCTGGGTAACAGAATGACACCTTGTCTCAAAAAAAGAAAAGATAAGCTTTGTGTGAGTAAGGGCTTTGTTTACTCACAACTGAAGGACAGTGCCTGACTTGCAGTAGACCCTCCATAGATAATTCACTGAATGAATTTTCCTCAAATATTCACTTAGAGCCTATACCCAGCACAGTTCCTTATACTCAATGGGGGGACTAGTGAAGTATTATTAATTTTATTAATACTCAGACTCAGGTTCTGTAAGTGTCTATGTTGCTAAATAGCTTATGTAAGCTTTTTGTACCTTGCTCAGTGAGAATAGAACCCCCTCAAACCCTGGGGATGCATCTTAGTTACCTATCACTTTGGAGAATTTGCCCCACTTGTTTGCAAGAGAATCATCCAATTGTACTTTCATTTGAAATATGACACAAAATGCTTTTCTTTTGAAAAATGAAAAACATAAAAGGAAAAATCTGTTTCCCTTTTAAGCTGTGGAACTTTCATATCTGAATGTCTTAGATATGCTACGTTATCTTAGCTCTAGATAAAAAATATGGTATTCCATTCTCATACTGTATTCTCTGACCTATTACAATGTTATATTAGAAACATCTATTTCTTTTCCTGTAACCCTAATCATCTTTCATTTTTATATTTTGAACAGTGTTATTTACTTGTCTACTACACCGGCTGGCGGAATGTCAAATCTTTTTTGACTTTTGGCTTAATCTGTCTGTGCAACATGTATCTTTATGAACTCCGCAACCTCTGGCAGCTTTTCTTTCACGTGACTGTGGGAGCATTTGTTACACTACAGATCTGGCTAAGGCAAGCTCAGGGCAAGGCTCCCGATTATGATGTCTGACACCATCCTTCAGACATACTGCCTAGGCTTCAGGGGGAAAAGGAGGGAACATATCTTAACTGCCACTGTGATGAAGAAACTATTCACCACAAATGAGAAGCTCTGCTTTCTTTCTCTCCAACTTTCCTTTTTTAAAATCAGCATGGCTGATCCTGTGAGCATGCAAGACCTGCTGGGAAAACTCTCAGAGGAATCTTGGCCATGCAATTATTGTGGCCATGTAATTGTTCAGAGGAGGAGGAGAAGGAAGAGACTTCTCTCTCAAGGGCTGTAACAGCGGAAACACTGTCAGATGCCTTTGGAAGACTTGGCCAGAAGTCCTGAATCCTTGCTGAAGAGTTCACTCAAAAAAATGGATGTGGTACTTGCTCTGAGGACCAAGCACAGGAACTCTACAACTTGAGTTTGCCTTTGTGAGGCATCAGTATAGACCAAATAAAAAGATGCTGCAGAAATTGGGAAGCTTATATTTTAAATACGTGACTGTGCTAAATACCAGATTATTTGCACTTTTATGGTACCAAGAGTTTATGATATCTAGGATATTGTGGAATTGGTTCTTGATACTTTTATATTTTTGCTTGAATCTTAACTCTGGAAATAAGCTAGTGTGGGAAAAGGCTGTAGTGAGCTCATCTTTGAAATATCACAGGTATTGAAAATACATGACATGTTTCCTTTCTAGACCATGTTTGTCATTTCTTTTGAAATCACTTAAAAAATATGATTCATTAGACTAGAGCCATTATTTCCCAAAATTCAGTCATTTGAGTACTATTTTACTAGTATTCTCTTAATATTTATCTTTTAAATTTTAAAATATTTTAAAAAGGAAAAAATTTTACTTTACATGGAAAATCAGTGTCAGTTTAATTAACACAAAAAATGTTAAGCTATAGCTCAGTACTCATGCTCTCCAAGCCTCTGAATGTAGGAGGCCTGCTTTCTGTGGTAGCAGTAGAGATGTTACCTAGCACCAGAACAAGCCTCTGCCTTTGGAATAATCACAGGACAATAGAAAATTGTAAAGGGAGTGACACTCTTACTGTGATTCAGTGTTAATCCATGTTGTGCACCACCTAAAATCATCTTGTGTGATACGGTCCTACACTGTGGAGACACTTGACTGTACTAAGAGAATAAGGAGGTGACTTTCCTGGCAAATCCAAACCACTGTATGGTTTTGAGTGATTAAGGACCTTGTATCTGAGAGAATTTAACTTTCTTTTTGATGATGATGTGTAGATTGTTTAAGCAGTTATGAATCAATAACATCGGAAGTACAGTTTGATTTTATTAGCAAAATCTACAGCTCTCCTGGTTTGGGAAGTCATTCCATGAATGATTTTCTTCTGTTTTTTAAAGAAAAAATTCCAAACAAAGAATTCATAAGGTACTGAAATTTGCTATCATTCACTTCGGCAGTAGACCCTACTACACTGTAATTTATGTTTGAGGGCTTACTACTAAATAGAAGAAATAGTTCAGACGGTAAAGGCCCTTGAACCACCTTGTTTGCCTGAACCACTGTATGTGGCTATGTCTAGAACTATAAAGTCTTGCTTGACTAAAACCTTCATACCCTCATTTTAGGAGAATGAGGTAAATGGAAGACAATAATTTATTTAAAACAAACTAGTTCACTCCAATTTTCTGCCTTCAGCAAGGCTGCACAGAAATTAATATATATTCCAAGAGCTACCCCAAGGTATCACGTGATCTAAATTATCAAAACATTGAATTATGTTTGGCATTTTGTATTTACTGAGCCAAGAAAGGGAAGTAGTTCAATTTAGAAAGGTTTTCTAAACTAATGGTTAAAACAAAGAATATTGTAAAAAGTCAGTTAACCATGAAGTTGGAACATTCTGGTTAATTGTGATTTTGTTAGGTATTGATATTTTATACCTCTTACCAGTTTAGTTCAGGAGCTACCTCCTTACCATTGAATTAATAAGTTATAATGTTCAGTATCTGGATCCATTTAGCAAGAACCCTTGAAAACTACTCACCAGCTACTTTTAAAGGTTTACTTTGTTTTCTGTCTTGTTTTTTCACTGGCTGTTCTGGATAAGAGGATGTTTATATCTTTATGTAAAAAATGAAAACAGGTAAAAATAATGTTTCATGAATAGAAATACTTTCTTTCATTGTTTGGTGGCTGCATTTCTGAGTGCCTGTATCTTGTCACCAAAGAAACCATGAATTTGGAAAGAGAAACTTTGGCTATGGGTTTAAAGAAGTCCTTGGACTTTTGAGGCATATATGATCTTACATTTATATTGCACTTTTACTTCTAAGTCTGAGTTTGCCCTGTCATAGTGAGTTTTGTAGCACAGGGGAAGCATAGTTGTTCTCATGTTAAGGCAGCAGATACAAAGGTGATCAGATGTTAGTGACCTATCATAGGTTAGTGACCTACCATCACTAAGCACACTCACTCTTAACCTTCTAGGCTTTTTCCATCAGCATAGAACTAGTGGAGGTGACCAAGGTTATATTCAGGGGATATGTGTGTCCTTTGTAAAATCAGGGAATTAAGGGGTGCTGAAATCAGTGCAGGCCTGCCACTGATATATTTTATCTTAATTTAGGTAATTCTGAAATGCTGCTTTTTGATTATGGTATACCAGAAGAACAAAAATACCCGTTTTTATATACTCAAAATAACTGCAGTATTTGTTTGCTGTTTTGTTATTTATACATGCTTCTTTGCGAAACAAATTTGCATACTAAGATACGACATATACAATGTTGTTAATTATGGACGGAAAGGTAAGAAAAGTAAGGTCAATGAAAATAGCAGGGTTAACCTATTATTAGGTTAAAAATTTAGGTAAAATTTGACTCTGGAGCTTTATGGAAGTTAAGGCTAAAAGAAGGGAAACAAGTTATTCATTGCTCTATCAATGGGTCAAAAGCATACCAATTCTTAGGCGAGAGTTCATCCTCTTGAATTCTGGTAAAACTGTTCTCACCTGACGGTCCTGTGAGTGAAGTGCCAAAATGAACACAGTTCTCATGGATGCACACTGGTGTCTTAGGATGTGTCTTGGATCCTCAACTTGTACCAGTTTTCAGAGGCTTCCATTTCAGGGTTGTGTGAGGAGTGTGTGTATATGTGTGACTAATAGAAGAATTTGTTTTTATAAGAATTCTTATCCCAAGCTGAAAATAAATATCTATTAAAGCTTGAAAATCCATTTGAAGCAAATGCCTTGAAACATAGAAAACCTTTATGCAATCTTGCAGCTTTATAACATATAAAGTGAATATGCTGTCCCTCAATTAGCACATTTATTCTCATTAAAGGTGGTCTTTTTCACAGTGGACCCTAGTCCAGAGAACTGCATGGCTTCATTTTTGTTAGCCACATGTAGTGTCCCATTAGACTTCTGCTTTGTCAAGTCCCCACCAAGACCAAAGATTTGTCGTAACAGGCTTAACCTCCATGTCAGAGAGGGTGACTCCTCTTTGCTCCTGAGGTTAACTGCTCCCCACAAGGCAGTTGCTTGTCCTTTGTTTCAAAAGGTTTACTAAGTAGCACAAGGATGCACTCAGCCATTGGATTTCCAAGGGTGCCCAACAGTGTGTTTGTGTCTACCTTTCTTGTTACTGTTTTAAAACTTGAGGTTCACTTTAAGAGAACTACCCTTGAGTGTGTGGTAAAACACATAAATTATTTCAAGAGCAGCCAGCACACAGACCAAATCGAACACTTAGCCTTACCACCAATTACAGGCCACTCTTCAGGTTGCATTCTTTGTCTATGGTCAACACTTCTTAGTACTTTTCTGCTTTATTATCTATCTCTAAGGAAATGAAGGCTTGCCACCTAAATGTGTATGGTAAAATAAAACCTGATTTTTAAAGTTAAATTTGCTTTAGTAATATCCTCACTAAAAGTTAATAAAAGAACCCCTCCAGTTCCAACAGTCATGAATGAGTTTGTGTGTGAGGGCTGAGTCAGCAGAGAATACAACTTTTCTAGCGTTCATTATGCATTGTGTGAGAGGTATCTTATCTTCATCAGTGTTCTGGGGCTGCTGTGGAAAGCTTGCAGATTGCAGCCTCTAGTTCAGACACTGAGTTTCTCCAAGAGAATTTGTATCTGTGGCTGCCACTCTTGCAATGTCTCTTTATTTAGCAGATAAAATTGTAATAAAAGTCAAAACACTGAGTGGTTAGAAGCCAAGTGGCTAGCGTCATCCCGCTTGTTAACTGTGAGTGGTGGTGATGTTTGGGCACATGGATGTGCCAGACATCTTCTGCATTGGCAGTGCTAGTGTGGGATCAATTAGGGGCCATAGGAAATTCAGGGAGAGAACAGGTTTAGTTCTCAGTTCCTGAAATCAGGACTGAGGCTTACAAATTATTCCCTTGGCAATAAACAGTATTTTCAGCCCAACCTCGCCCACGGTTCACATTTGCCCTTTTCTGCTTCCCACAGCACTGCTTGCCCAGCGGAAAGCACATTCAGGCTCCATCTGACAGTAGGTAGAAACAGGACTTATACACGCCATCTCCCATCCGGTCCTGGCGGCCCCTCCCCAGCTGTGCCTTCATTGTTTGCCTCCTGTGTGCCAATGTTTTTCTGCAAGGCTGGGTTGCAAAGGACCTTTCGTAAAGGTGAACAAGCAATATTTTACCCTTGAGCATGGAACTCCTTCAGTGCCTAGGGCAAATGAGAAGAATGCTCATTAGTGCCTTTTATGTGCCCGTGCTAGGTCCTTCTGCATCAGTGATTTTTCAACCAGTATACTGCAAAAATTTTTAAAGATCATTCATGAAATTATTTTCAAAAGAAGTTCAAAGCACAGTAAGTATATTCTTTTTTTACTCCTTTTTTTGATCAACATAATTTAAGTATGCTGCCGAAGTTTAACTATAGGTTCAAGTGTGCCGTGAGATAAAAAGGTTCAAAAACATTGTTCTATATAGTTAATTCTATGGCAGCCTGTGGGGAAGGGGAAAATCTCATTTATACTTGAGGAAACTAAAACTTGGAGACGTAACATTTTGTCCTTTGTATGGTATCACACTGATGAGTGCTGGGTGTGGAGTTCACACCTGAAATACAGGTTCAAGTGATTTAAAAGTTGGTACTAATTTCTCTATGCCATAGTGCAGCTCTGAAAATTTTGAGAGAGAGTGAGTGTGACTGACAACAGCTGGGCTCCTACTGGTGTCGCAGCAGTGAGAACAGATGAAGCAGACACAGGGATATAAGTAAGTATACTGTGTGACAGGACCTGTGTCTGCTAAGCATGTCATCCTCACAGAAAACATGCCGGAAAGCTTGCTAGTTGATAGACAAGCCTCCTGAGCCACAATCACACTCATTGTGGCACCAAGATTTCAATCCAGATCTTAATAAGAACTCATGCTCTTAACTACCATGTAATTTTAAGCTAGATAATGTGAAAATATATTTAAATATATAAGGCGTATGCAGTCAGGTAATATTTTATTTTTTAAATAAAAGATCAGATCA